AAAAAAAAGAAAAAGAAAAAGAAAAAGAAAAAAAAGAAAACCACAATTATTAAATGAATGCTATCAGTAACATTCTGCTACCCATGGTAAAAAGGCAATACCCTTCCTATGCTCACATTAAGCAACAAGCAGTGACAAACACATTGTATATGAAGATTTGGCATACACATGTTTAAATTGTATAACAATCTATCATGTTTCAAGAAACTCATCAGCATCTTCATGTTTGACTCTAATATTTTACATCTCTGCCACAGTCCTAATGACCAATCCCTTTGTTCTCACTCTTGGGGAAAATCGTAGAATATTACTGAGAAGGGACAATGACGGATTCCGGGTTATGAAGCTGCTCATCTCAATGATAACTAAACAAATGAATGCAGTTACGTCTGTCACACAGTCAAATGAATGTAGTTACATTGTCCGCAATTGTAAGAAGAGGTATCATCGTAACCGCCTTTGGAGTCCTGCTCAAAGGAAGCAATGCTTTAACAAAGGTGAATGCTAATCAACCTGATTTAGGAAAACAATGCTTTAACCTATAAAAATTATACTTTTAGATCATTAAATTGAAACTTTGAAATAAATCTCCCAATGTTGGAAATCGAAATTTTAAAAATTTAGATACTATCAATAATGCATCATTTTCCTTTCCATATATTAAACTTACAAGTTTTAAAGGGTAGAGTAATGCGAAATTACAAATGATAGATAAATGAGTAGGTATCAACCTAGTTGAGATGTATTCATTCTATTTGATGTAGTTCATCCCCTAATCAAATATTGTTGTGATGTATTCATTTTATTTTTATCTATTTTGACTATACTTTTGATTCAAAAATATAATTTACACAAATATTAATGTACAAAAATATTCATTATTTTTAAATGAAGTTGTATATAAAAAAGCTTGCGAGTAGGCCCGTCCAATAGGCTCGCGGGTTGGGCTACGGGTAGTCTACCTCTACCAGAAGCTCGGCCCGGCCACCCCAATAACTCACTTGAATAAGGGATTGGGCTTACCCTGCCCAGGTTCGACCCGAAAAAATTTCGGGGGCCTAGCCCGGCTCGGTTCGGCCCGGCCCATGGATATCCCTACTGGACAAGTAATCCAACAAAATGACCGTTAAAAAAAAGCAAAAGCAAAACATAAAAAATTACAAGCCACATGAGACTTTCCAACTTGTTCTAATACAAAAAAAGAAGGATGTCATCAAACTCTTTAGTCCTAGAAGTTCAAAAAGAAGCTAAAAAAAGAACTCTATCCCAAATTCCTCTTAGCAAAGAAAGAAATTCAAATAATCTTCCATTTTTTGTTTCCCCCTAAGCCCCAAATGGATTAAACAAAACATAGATCTCACATCCCTTGGTGAAATCCAAGTAGAATTCACATAACAAAAAGTTTATTCCAAAGATTATGCGCCGAAGGGCAATGCAAAAACAAGTGATCCACACTCTCATAATCAACTCTACGCATAACACACCGTTGCGGTTGAAGACAAATATTAGGTCTCCTCTTTTGAAGAACCTTATTGGTTCTCGCCTTACCATGGGCAAGAATCCAAGAACAAACTTCCACCTTCAAAAACACTTTAGCCTTCCAAATTTTCAATGATGGTTTGAAAAAAAGGAAGTGAAGGATCATCACTTAAAGAATAAAACAAAGATTTACAAGGAAAAATACCCATGGAATCCCTGATCCAATATCTTTTATCCTCCAAATTAGGGGTCCGCGTCACATTATTAAGAATTGAAAAAAGAGTCATCAATTCCGAATATTCTCTATCATTAAGGCTCCTACGAAACCTAAAATCCCAAGAGATTGGTTGAAAGTAAGACTAAACCATACATGAAATCCAGACACCCTGATAAGAAGAAACATGATACAACCGTGAAAAGAGACTAGAGAAAGAAACTCACCCACCTAAATATCCTCCAAAAAATGCACTTTGATTCTATCATTTACACTAAACTTAACCCTTTCAAAAAAGAAAGACAGTCCCTAAGAATGAACTTCCATGAATTCTGAAAAGTACCAATTTCAACTACATTAGCGTTCCACCTATTAGCCTGTAAACCATACTTGCTCCTAATAACAGCATGCCACAATGAATCTTGTTCCAAAGGGAACCTCCAAAGCCATTTTTCAACCAAACCATTTTTCAACAAAAAATCCAAAAGCTCCTTGATATTTTGAAATTGTGTCACCCAAACACTCCATTAGCCTCATAGAAAGAGCTTTAGAAATAATTTTGCACAGACTTGTAACCAAACTGATAGGCCTAAAATTCTTAAGCTTCATGGAGTTAACTTTCTTTGGGGTTAATGCCAATATTGTGGAATCCGTAACTCCATTAATAGTCCCCTTATGAAAGAACTACTCAAACACCCCCATCAAATCGACTTTCATTTTGTCCTAACATTCCTGATAAATAATCATAGAGAATCCATCCGACCCAGGAGCCTTACTACTTCATTCAAAAACAACTTTCCTAGCTTCCTCTACATCAAAAGGTCTCTCCATCCATCCTACAACACTTCCATCAATAGGGCACCACTCACGCCCTCTCATAATAGGTCTAGGGCCACCATGATTGGAATATAGATTGGTAAAGAATCTAATAATCTCACTTTCAATAATACCCTCCTCCTCAATGATAGACTTCTCTTCAAGGTCCAACTTATCAATTTACTTCCTCACCTTATTACCATTCGCCACCCTATGAAAAAATTTGGTATTGTTATCACCTTCCTTGACCCATTTAACCTTTGATTTTTGCCACAAACTAATTTCTTCTTTAAACACCACCTCCTAAGATCACCCCTCTCTCCTATACCCTTTATCCCTCCCCCTATCCCCTTCAAACTTAGCAATTTCCTCAATCATTTCCAAAAGGATTCTTTTCGCTTCTCTAATATCCCAAACACCTCTTTTTTCCACCCCTTCAACTTTTGTTTTATAACCTCATGTTTTTTTTCAAAAATCTAAAACTCTTCCCACCCTTGAATCCTTGTCTCTACCCACCACTCTCTAATCCTCATCCTAAAATCTCTATGCTCCACCCATATATTTTCAAATTTAGACAGACATGAACCCTACCAGCACTTAGAATCTACAAGAACAACAGAGCAACAATCTGAAATCACTCTAGACAAAGTGTCTTGCCTAACCTTGATAACAAAACTTTTTTAACAGTAATGCATAATATAGGGAGGTTGAACAATGTCAACAGAGTTTAGTAACACGAATGTTAATATATAGTAATATTCATGTTACTATATACTTGAACTTACAATTAGGGTCGTGTTACCAGTATAGTTGTGTTACAACACTGACACTAATGTTACTATAATAAATTTTAACATACAATTGCGAACCTTGAGTCGTATATTTTATAATACACACTTTAATATTCACAGTAACATCAAAGTTTTGTGTCAGTAACACATCTAATTTTACAAAATACAAAACAATAATTTTTTTACAGTACCATCAATTTTCGAATGATTTTAGTGAAAATACGATCCACAAATTAAAAATTTATGAAATGATGAGTAGTAACACAATCGATAATTGAATTACGATACTCAACACCAATTATGAATATCTAGATATCGAAATTCTGAATTCTATTTTGTGGTTCATGTATAGTAACATGAACTTTTTTCACAGTAATACAAATAAAGAATACTCGATTGTCTTGTGCAACAAAAAAATCAACAAAATCAAAATCTGTAACACTTTAATTTAGTAGTAATGTATGAGTTCTCTTGAATCTTGGTTACAAGATTAATGCCCACTTTGACAGAATTAAATCTCTAATTGTTATTACTTTTTTACCATGTTACCATTTTTTTGTGAGCATGTTACTATTTTTTTAGTGACCATGTTATTGTCTTTGTTGAGTATGTTATTATTGTTATTTTTTTAAATATTAATATTTTGTCGATGGAATCTGAAGTAAACTGCAATAGTAAATTGAAATTGTATTTTATGAAATGTAATGAATTAGAAATTTGAATATGAATGGTTTTTAGTAAATGCTGGTTTCTTATTTTTTGGATAAGGAAACATTGTAACTTGGAAGATTGTAGCTGGATTTAAAGGCCATTATAAAAAAGATGTATATGACTGATTATTGTGTCTATAAACGTGGTTTATAACATTCTTACAGAAAAGGGTTACAATAGTAAAATTGACAAAAATGAACTTAGAACCAAATAAGTTTCTTTGACAGACTTATCTCTAAATAAGTCCATATAGGGGGACCGGCCTCCAAATTTCTTGAGATTAATATACATAAAGAACACAATAAAATAAGATATCTTGCTTTTTAAATCTACTAAATAAGATAAAAAAAAAAAACAAATTGGCTTAAATTTAGAAGTAATTGGTCACAGACTTTGAGAAGTGATACTTGAATTATATGATACTCTCAGATAGATGATCAAAGCTTTGGATAAATTTTTGCGAATTTCAGGAAAAGTTTTGTACATCAATATAATAAAACATGTGATCCTCCCAACATGGACGAAATGCCTTACAATTTCATAATGTAACTAGAAACAATGTTTTTATTGTACTAGGATTCACCATTACAATTCTCATGTGTAAACCTCCAAAAATTTTGTTATAGGAAAAAAATTGATTAAAGAATTGCTTGGTCAAAATTCTCGTCATTCACATTTCAAGTTATTTGATATAGAATCTCTATATGAATCTTGGTGTACATGGTTTCTTGGCAACGTTTGTAGCAGCATAGGTACACAACACATGACAAGTACTGTTCAAACAAATAGGATCAATCAAGACAGTGAAAAAAAAGACCAAAGAGAAGCTACAATAAAGTAGCTAGATAACATATGCTTCATCAAGTTTCCTTCTCGCACATATACATTCCATTACACAATGAACTAATTCCTAACATTCTGCCACACTTAAATATGGATTCAAGTGACAGACTTCCTTTGTGTGCAAACTAGAAAGCACTTTGAACCAAGAACATCATTTGCTCAAAAAATGAAATAAAGTCCTTGGTAGTGTTTAATTCCTGGTATGAGAATGAGAATAAAAGTTAATACAAGAAGTCTAGAGAAGAAAAACATCAACTATACAAAAATTATTTCAAAGGGGCTCAAGCTCATATTTTGTCTTATTATTTTTTTTAATGTTCAAAACTCATAGAAAGTGTCGGAAAGTGGAACTCAAACCAAACGGCCGAGGAATTTTGAAAAATAAATATATGCTATCAAGACCTCCATTGGAAGGATTGAAAAAAAAATGTTTTTCACTTATGTTGGTATTTTAGAGTATTATAGATAGAATAGAGAATTAAAAGAGATGTGGGAAAATTTAAAAATTTAAATACATAATGATATAATTGTAATTTAGATATTTAAGTCTGGAAAGATAGTGTGATATTTAAAATTCTTTATAAAGATAAAATAATAAATCAAAAAAATTTCATTCAAAGTACTTTTATTAGTAATATAAATATAACTATAAATATAGATTAAAGTGCAACTAAGTTGACGAGAATTTTACAGTAAAGAGAAACATAGGAGATATGTGAAATGAATGCATGTGCAACATTTGTCGGTCTATTTGAATAAAATGCAATAAAATTGACAATTTGTCATTAAATAATTTTTTTGGGGAGTCCATGAAATTTAAAGACCATGTTCCATGAGTCACATCAATCCAATTAGTCACACATTAGATTAAATAATTAGGAATTTCAATTAGTGAGATATCAAAAAATGAAGTTAGTATTACTCATTTTTGGCATTGGAACAATATAATTAGATAAAAGTAAAATCAAGATCAGAATTACACAATATCGGGGAGTGCGTGGCTTAGTACGAGTATATAGAACCATTTTAAAGTTCATCACAATCAATACCACAAAATATTAAATAGACATCAGACCTCAACCCATAAGAGTTTCAACAAAGTAATTAACTCATTTTAATTCATCTTCTCATGGAGTGCTAGCCAACAACAAGGATGGCCTTATCTGAATATCTTTGAAAATTTAAAAAAATTATATTAAGTCAAATTCTAGGGACAAAGAGATTATACATATGTCCTTAGTAAGAAGTACAGTTCCCAAAATGACATATGTAAGAAGTACACATATGTCATTTCTTTTGAATTTCAAAAAAAAAAAATGAAATGTATTAAACTAATTAGAATCATAAATTAGTTGATTTTGGTCTGCAATATATCAAATTACTAAGGAGATCAGCATAGGTAGTGCATATTATGATAACTTAGGGAAATTATCCCATCAAAAAATCATCTGGAAAGGCATAGATATTTGAAAGGAAATTTTCAAGTTTTCATTATATATATATATATCAGATCAATCAGTATCGAATTTATATTGGGTTATGTATGTTTAGTGAATTCAGAACTCTACTACAAATGAGGAATAGAAAATTAATGGCAAATCCATTATATTTCATAGCAAAGCCTTTGGTGATTCATCTTACAAGTTTGTTTCTACTGCAATCTTAATTCATAATCAAGTTATTTTACTCTATGCGAAATTGAACCTTTAAAAGCATTGTTTTATTTAGACTTACATTTGTCTTCTTTCAAAATTAATCTCCAACTGAAGTTACCATTGTGAAAATTATTTAGAATTTGCTTTTAAAACTATAAGAAATAGCAATAATATTCTTTTAAATATCCTAATTGTCACAATTTTTTAAGATTTTAAGAAATTCCTAAAATTCTAGTTTCTCTAAATGTTATTTTGCCACCCAAGACATAACCCTCCCCAATCCCAACCATATCCCCCCCCCCCCTCTCAAAACCCAACTCCAATGGAAAAATGTAAAAACAAAAACAAAAAAAAAACAAAATTCATGGTTTCACTCCATATTTGAAATACATGAATGAACTAGTTATGCAATTAATTCACTTCAGTTAACAACCTATTGATGATAGTTAATTAAATATCCTAAATGTAAGTAACGTAAATCGTAGCAACATACGTGGATGATGAAATTGGCATAATGTGAGAAATCAATCACTGTGGATGACTGCTCGCAAATGAACCAACATCCAATAGAGCACTTACAACTTAATAAGTAGCTAATATTAGAGAATAAGAGAAAATGCTTATCACATATGTGAGATATTAAGACCAAGATTAGATCAAATGTTCAGTGAAACAAATAACTTATTAATTACTCAAAAATATCATTAGTTTAAAAAATTAGCACACACCAAATAAGATCCACCAATATAATGTCACATCTAACCAAAATCTAGAGAGAGGCATAGAGATCCACACCACTAATTTTTGTTGCATTTTGATTTCATGCCATTATTATTTGAAAACCTCATCATCTATAAAGGAATAAAAGAGAAAAGGAAAAGAAAAAGAAAAAGAAAAAACAAGCTGAGCATACTATTCTTAATCGGTTAATTTCAACAAAAACTAGATTGATCAAATGAGTTTTGGCCATAAATTTTAATATTGTATTCTAAACAATTTATTTTTGTTGAAAAATAGCGCACTATAATCCGATGATTAAAAAATTCTTTTATTTTTTTCCACATTAATTTGGTTCAGTGAAAACATTCATATGGTAGGTCATAGTATTCTAGTACTTAAGAGAAAAGCAATGCTCAATGGAGCAGAGCCGAATCCGAGAAAGTTTTTATTTTAGATAGTGTTTTAGAGAAATGTGGAAGAAACTGTATATGCTATTTAGTTTTCTCTTATTTTTTGCCAAATTATTGATTTTTTTGCTCAATCCACAAAGAAATAAGGTCATGAAATTGATGAATATAAAACAAACCTGATTGCTTGATTTTTGTTGCTTCATTTCACTAAAAGATGATGGAAGGGATGTGTTGGGAGTCTGTCAAAATCTTCTCCTTCTTTCCCGTCTACAATTCGAATCTTTTCCGTGAATTCATTGGGCATATTCCCAATTGTCAACACTTGGAGATTAGTGACGAACTTCAGTCCCTCCGGAAGCCTCTGCAATCTGGCGCAAGAAAAGATTGTCAAAGTAGAAAGATTGGGCATGGCTCCTTTATCCATCCTCCACTTTTGTAAATTGCTTAAATTAATCAGTACAAGCCTTTTGAGTTGTGGAAAGCCCTTAGCAGAGCAGACAATTTCCTCCCCAGCAAAGATGTCTGTCACCAACTCAAGCAAGTTGAAGTTAGGAAGCTTTTCCAACGTTGCCATAGGGTCTTCTTCAAGTTCAGATCTATACAAAGATAGTTGGGTAACACTTGAAGACAAATGGGTGTGCTCAGGTAACTTACCTATTGTCCCTTTTATAAGCAACTTATGAAGTTCAGGACATCCCAACAATTGGGTTAGCAGAGTTAACTCGTCTTCAGAACAAAATTTACATTCAATTTCGAGGGATAAGTTTCGAAGGTGGGGTGGGTGATGTTTCCTAAATATTTAGAACATTTACCTTCCATAATAATAGGATATCGGCAATCCTTAAATCAAATGCTTTTTGCAAGTGTTTTAAGTTGCCTAAAGATGATGGGTAATCAATGAAAGAAGACCCTCTCAAACTCAGGTACCGCAAATGGATTAGATTACCTATTCCTTTTCATGACTTCCAATGATCAATGATCATGCAGGGTGCTTCAATAACTTTAAGATTTGAACTAGGTGTCAATCCTTCAATGGCTAAAACTCTGAGCATCTTGAAGTTGTTAAATGAGGATTTCATCATCGGTGAGATACGTCCATCATACTCATTTGATATAAACACCAAAACTGACCGGAGGTGTTGGGCTGTTTTCTTTTTAGGGGGGAACATATGGGCTTAAATCTGCCCCACCCAAATAAATGGCATGCCTACGAGTATTATTGGTTGAAGCAGAGGATTCCACTGGCTCGTGATCATATAATCAATGACCTTGAGGAAATTATCCTCTTTTCCCTTGGACGAGCATAGGTCCCGCATGAGATCATGAAGGCGACAAGATCTAAACCTTCTAATGGATAACTCCTCCCCTACTCGCACTTGAACTATGCACCTCTGTGCTAATTCACCAAAGTAACGTTATGCTATATCCATCATTGTTTCAGCTTTTGATTTGTCATCTGACAACACTATACCTTCAGCCATTCACAATTGGTATAATCTCTCAACCTCTATCTCAGAATCTTCCTCGAAATTGCCCAAATAAAGACTCACTCAAGGCCTCTTTTGTGGCCAAAAGTCCTCCAAGAACAACCACAGCTAATGGAAGACCCCCACAATGTTTAACCATTTTCCTCCCTAACTCCATTTTTTGAACATAACTCAGGTCTGCAAAACAACAAATAAAATAAAATAAAATTTCTTAAGTGGCAGAAATTATGCACAAGATTGCTGAGAAACTTTTGATTGCCTCTCGAGTATGTAGGGTTTTTCTTTGGCCGTGGAAACAAGCAAATTAATATTAAAAAAAAAAAACTTTGTCTGTCTTTTGAGAATATACATAGAACTTTTTATATTTATAGGTAGATAAATGAAGCACATACTTTCACTTGCTCACTTAATTAAAAGGTGAGATAATTGAATAGTTTTTTTAGCACGGTACTTTCACTATATCTATATATATATATATATATATAAAATAAAACAAAATTTGAATTCTGAAGACAAAGAGAGGTTCAGATCGTTTTACGACAAAATATAAACAAATTCAATGGACAAAGTAATCTCAATATAAAAAACGATTAATACCATTTCAAAAATTTTAATTAAACGATCTACTAAATTTTGTATTCCTGCCTCACAAAACTTGCTAAATCACGCCTCTCTCTCTCTCCCAATCTGACACGTCTCTATCCCTGCCTTCCAAATGCATCCCCAAATTTTCTGGACTCACCAATTCAGCGATCTCTTCTTTCCTTATCAGAATGTGGGCTCTGTGATTTCCTTTCATACCCAAAAGGAATCTAACGCCTGAAATCGGGCAGGAATCAATTCGTCATTCCGTGCTCTTTTGAGTTATCTGAGGATTGTTCAGTCCAGTACCGATTCAAGCCATGATCAGGTATGAGTTTTGAATGGGTTTTTCGTCACTATGTTTGACTTTGAGGGGAAGGTTTCAACTTGGACCATTTGTACGTTGGTGACGAACTCGATAAATCCAATTTTACAACAATTTAGCGGAACAAAAATGGTAAGACTATATGTTCGTGTGCGGGCTCGATCCTGCACGATATATAAAATATTGGGAACAGATCTCTCCCCTGGTGAACTTTGGGTGAGCCGGTTGAGTAGCCAAACACGCTGCTTGAAACAGCCTACAAGGTACGGTGGCAACCGAAAACGGCAAAGGGAGATCCTGGGAAAGGAGGAACGATCCTGTACGTGTGAAAGGTATTTCCTGGAGCAAAGGAGAACAAGTTAGAAGGGCGCCGGAGTGTTTTCCGGCGTATCCCCTCCGACGGTCTAGTCAGTCTTTGAATGAGAGAGAGGAAGGAGAAAACACTGAGAAGGATATTTCGTAGTTGAGAGTTTGAGATTGCATACCAGCTTTGTCTTTTGGGAGGGGTATTTATACCTTAGAAGATCATGATTGCTGTCAGTGTGGTCAGTAGGTGATCATCAGGCACAGGTAGCGTGTGTAATCATTTGATGAGGAATGTCTTCTCTAATTGACTGCTCGGGGTCCCGAGCAATCAATGGTGAGTTGTCGGGACGCCGACGGTACAATATGCTCCTTTCGAGAAGGATGCAATAAATGCTCTGTAATAAGAGCATTTATTGCCTTTCATATCCGAACCTTACCGCATTAAATGCGGTCTCGTCAACAGAAGGGTGCAATTAATTGTTTGCTTTCCCAAGTCGCGTGCCAGCAGCGGCATGCGGTTTGTCTGCTTCGGATGTGACATTATTTGCCACGCGTCCATCCCTTATTGGCTGTTACGTCGGTATTCCAGCACGTTCTGACATTACTTGTGTAAGAAGAGGTCATGATGAATAGTCCATACTGGCATAGGCTGATGTCCAGTTTGTCAGTAGCTTTATCCGGGAGTAGAGGAAGCGTCCAGGATGGAGTGACCCTCGGCGCCGAGGAAAGGCTCACCTCGGGAACCAAGGGGTGGTGTGTTCCCGAGGTACATGGTGACCGAGGACACATGTCGTTGTATAATGTACCGAATATGTGATCCTATATGAGAGGTACCTCGGGGGAGAGGACGCTTTTGCCGATGGTGCTTGAACCCGAGCAACATTGTTCCAGAAACCCCCGAGGACACGTGTCTTCATCATAGGCTTTTCAGAAGAGTCCCATCAACTGCCCCCCCCAGCCTTCGATCTTCTGACGCCGAGGACACGCGTTGTCAGGAGACGAAGGGTTTTTCAACTGCCATCCGTCCTTCATTATGGCCTCGAGCAGCTTTCCCCGTCTTGGGATGTCGTGCGCATTAAATGCGCCGTTTTGGTTCTCCCGCCCAATGATGACAGTTTTCCCCCCTATATAAAGGGGGTTCTTCTCCGGTTTCCATTGTTTTGCCATTCCGATCTCTGACCCAGAATACGCCTTTTCTGATCTGCTCGCCGGAGTTTCTGTTTCCTCAGCCATCATCGACAGCATCTTCTCTTAAAATCACAGTCAGTAAACCCATTGTTGACTCCTGGTCCTTCCGGTGCGAGTCGTTTTCAAAGTTTTTCCTGAAAAACTCCGTTTCCGACGTCTTCTGGTGAGTTTCACAACCTTCTTCTTTATCGTCCTCCTGGCCTTCTTGTTTTCCGATTTGAACGGTGGTGTCATCCGGTCGGTACGTCTTGATTTAAACCCTCGGGGAACTTCCTCAGGTTTTCAAGAGAGAACATCTTTTCTTCCCTCTCTTTTAGAGATGCCTCGTCGTCGCCCTGTTCCCGAGAATCCATCGGCTGGTCCCTCGGGGTCAGGGAAATACAAGGTGACAGGCGAGGCACAGATCGATAGGTTCAGGGCGAAGTATGGCATCCCCCCGAGCGTGGACGTAGTGGGCTTTAACCCTTTGTTGAACTCTCCTACCTTCGGGGCCGCGGATGCCATGCCTTTCTATACCAAGGCCATCATAGAGGGTGGCATTAGGTTTCCTTTACCCCCCCTGCTTCTTCAGTTCCTGTCTCGCTTCCGTCTCTTCCCCGGGCAATGCTGCCTCAACGTCTTTCGGATAATTATGGGGGTCCTAGAGCTCAATAGGCGCCTCGGGGTGAATATTGGGCTCAACGATCTCCTTTTCTGTTACTCCCTCCTAAGAGTCATGCCCCACCAACATTTCTACCTCAAAGCCAGGGACCCCTCTATGTACCTTGTAACCCATCTTCCTGACTCGGACAAGGGGTACAAGGACGACATCTTGATCTTCAAGGGATGTTGGGAGAGGGGTGTTGGTCCCGAGTACAATGACCTATTTTGCCCTCGGGAATGGAGAACGACAAGTACGTCGGTTCCTTTGGGTCTTTTTATTTGTTTCTTGGGACTTCTCATGTTTATGAGAATCTTTTTTGTTGTGCAGATATTCCTTCTCGGGAAACAGCTCCACCCCCTCGGTCGCTGGTCAATTTTGCCGACTTAATAACGGTTTGGAGTTTCACGGGCGCCGACGGATTTGGCCGAGCTGCCCATAATTTGCTGCACTATACCCCGGTATAAGAAGTTCTCACAGCTCCCTCAACCTTTCGAGCCTTCACAGTGGTCAGAGCTCTTTGATCAGGCGGCGAGGTTAGAGGTCGAGCAGAACTTGGAGGAAGACCCGGATCGGGCTTCAGAGGGAGAGGTAGAAGGAGTTGCTGAGGTCGGGGTCAGAGAGGACGTTGCTCCTTCGGACGCCGAGGTGGGGACTTCGGGAGGCGACCTGTGGCCGGATTTTCAAATTCTCCAATCTCTGGACGCCGAAGACGCTCTCGAGGAAGCGATGTCCAACACCCCACACATCATTTGGGGTTTCTTAGGCAGAGGCAATCCCTCGCAGCCGGGAGAGGCCGAGGGCGACCGGCGGTACTCCGGCAGGAACCAGTTCCGCCATTCTTCGAGGGCTCCCGGTCAGGGTCAGGTGCGAGACCGGGATCCTCAGGTGGAAGAAGAGAGGAGGGTAAAACATCGGCATGACGGCCTCAGCCGGGGACCCAGGGCATCTCCCGCTCACCTCAAAGCGGGAGGGATCGTGGGTTACCGCCTGCTCCCCCACAACAGCAACAACCACAGCAGCCCCGACAACAGCAAAGCAGCAGCAGCAGCAGCAGCAGCAACAGCAACAGCAGACCCCTCCTCCCGTTTCCTCGTCTCGGGGGGAGGCCGCAGAGTGGAATCCTCGAGCCACTGATCACATGAACAGAGTGATCAGGGCCGATGATTCTATTCTGTCGGATCCTCCCATGTCGCTAATGCAGTGAGTGAGACACTGCATTTCGAGGCCGACATGGAGGCTCATAGGGGGCGATCACCAACGTGTTGTTTCGCTCCATGATCCGAGAATTCCCTGGTGGTGAGTTTATTCCTGTTTTGATCCTTTCACTCTTGTTTTCTATTTTTGTGTTTTTACACTCTTTTCCTTCCTTCACAGGCTACCCACAGATTTCTATCATTGCTGGCCGGTACTACGCGTCCAATGATCTTCAGAGGGCCAAGGATCAGAAGGCAGAAGCGGAAGCTGCCCTTGCTCGGGCAACGGAGATGTTGCTGCCAGGATTCCACCCTGGTGGGGCAGGCT